CCTGGCCCAGTCTGTCACGGCCATTCACGAAACCTTTAGCAATAACCTTCTAGCCGGTTTCCTCTCCCCACACTACTTTCACCATAGTTTTGCCAGATTTGTTTTTCTAAGGGACAGATCTGATTGGTTACCATCCTTATGTTAAAGAGAGAGTGAATTTGAAATTACCTAGAGCCGACTTCCATGGTGGTCCAGTGGCTAAGACTCCATGCTCCCAATGCAGGGGGGCCCAGGTTCAATCCCTGGTCAGGGAACTAGATCCCGTATACCTCAACCAAGAGTTCACATGCCATAACTAAAGATCCTGCCTGCCGCTGCTAAGATTTGGTACAGCCAGATAAATAAATAAAAATATTGAAATAAATAACCCAGAGCAATAACCCAATATCTCCAATGCAAAATTATTATTCCTTAACCTGGCACCTTAGTGGGATGACCTCACTGTATATGTTGACTTCATCACCTGCCACTTTTCTTTATGAACCTTAAACTCCCGGCACACAGACTGCTGTTCAGGAAGAAGAGGGAAGTGGTACAGCTGTGGCATCTACCCAGACAGTGAGCTTCTGCCTGCAGGAGTGATGCTCGGGGGCCACCCTCCGCAGCCCCAAGGGCATGGGAGGTGAATGACTTTCACACAGGGGGCTTCAGGGAGGCAGGGTCCTTAGAGAAAGGCCAGCTTTTAGCTCCAGCAAGAAATCAGAGTTGTCTACAGATAGCAGGGTAGTCTGCTTGCTGGAGTTCTGGGGGCACATAGTTAAAAGAGGTGCAGGTCGGTAGGCTGGGGAAAATCAGGACCATTTTTCAGAATAACCAACCCATACAAAAGGATTTGAGTAAAAGATGTTGAAAGATTTGGAAGGGGAGTACCTTTCAGTTTGAACAGGATGATCTTTGTATCACTGGGGCCCAGGAGATGCTTGATAAATTGTTACTGAATAATGTATTTTTGGTACTTTTTGACTCCGTCCTATTAATATTGGGTTGGCCAAAAGGTTCATTTGGATTTTTCTCAGTATGTGGTTTGTTTATAACCTTAGTATCACATTTAATTCTACTAGACTTCATTCCGGTTGTGATACAACATTTCTTTCATTTACGTAAGGAAGGTGTATGAAATGACAGTTATAGCTCAACACTAGTTAATTTTTCATACAAAGAGATGGTGACTGTTTTGAGTCTTTGTGATAAGAAGGCATGTAGAAATGGATATATAATGTTAATGTACATCATCTCACTCTATCTTTGGCATTACTGCCTTTTTTCTTTCATTACCCCAAACCATGAATAATGGTGTTCTGTGTAGTATGTTCTTCTCTCCTGACCAAGTCATCCTATATGATGACTTCTGTGTTGCAAGACTCTCTGTTCTGTATTTTGCAAATTATTTACGTAAAGGAAAGTATCTATGTAAAGGAAAGTGAGTCTTGAAATTTAGCAAAGGGTAAAATCCAACCTGTAATCTTTGGTCAGTCTTGTCCAAGGAGTCCAGTTACTAAACATACAAACCATTTTTCATTTAAGATTGTTTTACTAATGCAGCCACACACCATGGATCCATGTTTGTAAGATTCCTGTTTGTTTTTTCTAAAAAGATCCAGCCCCTTGTGGTTATACATGTATAAAGGCATGGCTGGGTTTGGAAAGTGAACAGGTTTCCTCATGGAATTGTTGCTTCTTTTTGTTGTTTGTTGTTTGTTTTTGTTTTTTTGCCCTTATCGCACAGCTTGTGGGATCTTAGCTCCCCAACCAGCAATTGAAACATTCTTGGCAGTGAAAGTGTGGAGTCCTAACCACTGGGCAACCAGGGAATTCCCTGGAATCATGCTTCTTTAGAGCTTCTTTTTCCTGGCATTTATACATGGAGAGGACATCAACTGATTAGAACTGGAAAGACAAAGAGGTCAACTAGTGCTTCAAATCTCAATATCTTAATTTATCCCACTTTTTTTTTTTTTTTGAGTCACTGTGGCAATCAGAATAAGCCCACTCTTTCTGAGAAGGACATAGGTGACGTTTAGAGCTTTTCGGTGCCCTGTGGACATCTTGGTAATGGGAAAAACCTACATCCCACCTTGACTGCTCCCCCTGGGTTATGCTAAGCATGGACTGGTTCAGAATTCATTTTTTACGGTTCAGGAAGCTGAAGTCTGAGAATAGCAGGTGGCTCGTCTTGTAGCAAGTAGCAAGTCAGCACAGTTGGGAAGTAAGTCCAGGTCTGGGCACCACAGCCCCGGCCTGTCCCCGGACCCACCCCCCAGCATCCGTGGTCCAAGCCTGCAAGCTTCACCCTCTCCATCCCAGTGTGCAGGCTGCTCAGCTTTCTCTGTCGTCCTCACTTTTAGTCTTCAGGTCTCCCTCCTGACCCTCTGCTGCACCCCTTCCTGAATGTGTGAGGACTCGATTCCCCTCTCTCTGCAGAGTGCATCATCCCCCCGCCCGTGTGTGTGTGAGAGAGAGAGAGACAGAAAGAGAGAGAGAGCACAAGAGAGAGAGATGTGGTTCTAGGGCCTCCTCCGCAGCTGGCGGCCTCAGGGCTGCTCCTGACTTCTCTGGCTAAAGGAAGGACAGCTCATCCCGCCGCCCTCTGGGAACACCCAGCCTGTCGCCTCCAGGAGGCTGCCCCGCAGCCAGTCTCCAGCCTTCCCCGTGTCTCTCGGCTTTCCTTGACTCCAGCAGTTCTCACACTTAGCTGTTTTCTGTCCTTTTAGCTGTCCCGCAGTTGGATAGACTGTGAGCTGTCTTCTCAGGAAGTCAGCCAGCTCTGCTACTTGCCTTCGCAGCCCCCTGTTTTTCTTCCTCCTCAGTCCCAGGTCCTAATCGGTCGTCATGGTTTGCTTCTTGTTTTGATTTTGTAAGAAATGTTTCTAAGTGTCAGCCCACAGCCAGGATCTCCCTCTTTCTTCCACAATCCTGGTTGTCCTCTTGAAAGTATCAAGTGTGCAGAATTCACACTCTGTCTTTTAAGTTTCAGAGCTATAGGTTCTGGAACTATGAAACTAAGCTCATGACAAAGCAACTTTGATCTTAGAAAGTTCCAGGATCCTCATGACCTTTTTTCCCTCCTTCTGAAGACAGCACTTTATCACAGGATTCAGTCACTGGAGCAGAAGTGGAACCTTTGAAAAGACAGTGGCCCTTTGGCTGTGATGCGTCAGGGTTCATGTGGGGAGTAAGCTGGCACTGATCCAGGCTCCAGGCAGCGTGCCCGCCTCTGCCTGGCTTGGCTGGTGTAGTTCTTGCCAGGGCCCTGGGATGGAGGGGAGTGGCAGCCACCAGCCAGTGTCAACCGAGATCAGCATGCTGCAGCCTAGATGCATGTGTGACGTCCCTGGTCCAGAATAAAAGCCCTGCAGGAAAGAAGCTCCTTCCTGCCCAAGCTGTGCTGTTAGTCACGCCGGGAAAGGGCGGGTTTGGATGCTGAAAGTAACAGCAGCCACACTAGCTTATAGATTTAGCTCTCAGAATTCCTCTGGGACCTCTTCCAGACACACCCTGTTCCCCAGACATCCTGAGAAAGTTGTAAATGCTGGCTTCGCATTTCTTCAGTTGTGCTTGGTCATTCGTTCTCATAAAAATCTGGAACATGATTTATTGTTTCTGTATTGTCATTTTCACAGGTGTTTGAAATGAAAAGAGTTTTATGACAAAGTAAAATATTTCTTCTCTCAAGCATATGCCAACAGAGCAGTATTGTAAATTTGGAAATCTGTGTTAATTCTGCATTTGTTCATGTTAGCTATTAGAGACAATGAATACTTTTGTTACCATTTTAAAAATTGAAGACACTAACTTCACAGCATAAAAATAGAAAAGTTTCCTTACATTCAGTTTTGTTACTGTTGTTGTTAGGTTTGCTAAGTCGTGTCCGACTCTTTGTGACCCTGCGGACTTTTTCAGGCAAGAATAATGGAATGGGTTGCCATTTCCTTCTCCATTACATTCAGTAATGTATTTGTGTATTAATAAGTTAAATATCTAACTAGACAATGCAAAATACCTACATTCATTGTGCAGTTACCATTGTGATCGAGAAATCTGGCTAATATGATGCTGAGGGCATTACAACATAATTATATTAAATGTACTCAGGACTTCCCTGGTGGTCTGGTAGTTAATACTCTTGAGTTCCCAATGTAGGATGCGTGGGTTTGATCCCTGGTCAGGAACTAAGATCCCACATGCTGCACAGATGCGGCCAATAATTAAAAATAAATAAATAAATGTGCTAGATTTGTTTGTAGGAGCTATGTTTTCCTAGTAGATGCTTTCTATGGGCCTTTTCCTTCTTTCATAGTTGAAATTTCAAGCATTTAGTAGAGTGACTCTGAGTGTGTACTCTGGTATTAGACTTTTATTTTAAAAACCAAATTGGAGAATAAAAAGAAAAGACTACTTCCCTTAACCTTTGTAAAGTTACTGGCTGATGACAATTTAAGAAGATAGTATGTTTACAATGGGCTTCCTTTGTGGCTCAGCAGTACAGAACCTAGCTGCCAATGCAGGAGGTGAGGGTTCAATCCTTGTGTCGGGAAGATCCCCTGGAGACGGGAATGGCTACCCACTCCAGTATTCTTGCCTGGAGAATTCCATGGACAGAGGAGCCTGGCGGGCTACAGTCCATGAGGTCACAAAGAGTTGGACATGACTGAGAGGCTGAGCAAGCATGCACGCATGTGTGAAATAGCCCCTAATAGATCTGGGCATCCTTTAATGATATTATTTATAGAAAATATTTTATATCTGTATAATTTCAGTCATCTTTAAGTAATATTTATTAAGCACCCTCGGTGCAATACAGATACCTTGGTTCAAAAAAATAAATAATCCTCTGAGGAAAGAAGATTCTTAAAAGAGAAGCTTGCATCTGGAGTCAGTAATCCTCCCCTGATTCCAAAGAAGGAAAGGGGGGTGTCTCGTTTTGGTTCTTTTTTTTCTGGTAGTGGATTATTTTTTCTTTCACTAATTTACAGTGCTATCTCTGGCCCTGTTTCCATTAGGAGATGAAAGCATGGAAATTAAAAAACAAATTACAGGAATGAGAAGATTACTGAATGACAGCGCTGGGAGAATATATCAGCGTGTGGGCAAGGAGGGGGAGAAACTTAAAGAGGAACCCCAGGATTTGGATGCGATCTGGCCTCAGCGTTTGAACTCTGCAGAGGCCCCCCAGAGCCTCCACCCGTCTTCCCGGGGCACATGGAACGAGCTGCCAGCCCAGAGCGGGCAGTTCTCAGGGCAGTATGGCACCCGCTCCAGAACCTTCCAGAGCCAGCCCCACACCGCGGGGAGCTCCAGTGGTATGCCCTCATCAGACACTCACAGTCGTCCCAATATGTTTTCTGTCTATAAACATTCAGTGTGTTCTTTGAGTTCAATATAGTAAACCCTCCTTTAATTACCTACCTTAATTGAGTTATTTTAAAAGACAGGGAAGACATAAAAGAAAAAGAGTATAAAAAAAATCTAGACTTGAGATGCAGGAAAAACTGGGGGTTCTCTATTAGAAGGGATAGTTTCTTGATAGACACTTTAGCTCAGAGCTAAAGAAATCAAAGCCATCATTGGCTGAGATACGGATATTATTGTCACAAACAACTGAACATTAGGGCAGAAAGAGCTCCACTGTGTCCTTCAAAGGAGCTTCCTGGTCATGTGGTGTATTATTAACACATCCCCTTGCTAAGTCCTGGGCTTTCTTCATTACAGCACAAGTCACTTAAAGGGAGGACTGATGACCCCGCCAGTCAAGTGACACCTTGACTTCAGCCTCCCATTCAAGCTCCTGAACCAAATGATCCATATCTTATACCTTGCTTCATTCAGGTTGAAAATTATTCCTTTAAAGTAAAATTTCCTTAATTTAAATTCCTCATGGGTTTTCTAAAAGTAATTTGGAGTATAGATGATTTATAGTGTTGTGTTAGTTTCAGGTGTATAGCAAAGTGAATCAGCGATACACTTAAATATATCCACTCTTTCTTAGATTCTTTTCCCATGTCGGTCACCATAGGGTATTGAGTAGAGTTCCCTGTGCTATCCAGTAGGTTCTTATTAGTTATCTTTTTTTCTTTTTTCAGTTTTTTTTTAGTTGTCTATTTTAAATTCCTAATTGTTAAGGGGGGAAAAACTCAAATGGCAAATTTTTTTTCCCAAAGCATAAGGAAAACCTTGATTTCTCCATTCATGTTAATTTTCCCTCCAGTAACACTGACTGTTATTTGTGTTATAAATTACATACAGATGTGCAGATCTGTAGTTTTAACAAAGGGAATGAGAAGAAAGGAAGAACACATTTCTAGCTTCCTTAAAAAGTTAAGGATTTCCCCCCCCCCCATCATCATCCTTCAAGAGAAAGAGAACTATTGTGATTTTATGTTTTGTTTTAAGCACAGTTTGTGATAACCAGTTCAAAGGTATGAAAAGCCATCACTAGCTACTGCTGAAGAGATAGGGAGGGACCCCAAGAGATGTATGGGTGTCTTCTGTCTCTCTTAATATTACATAAGCCAATATCAGATTCTCATGCTGGCGTGCTTCCAGGTTAGAAAGAGATGGCTCTTTAAAGACTCCTCCATAAAAATAAAAAGGCAGTTCTCTTTAAAATTAGAAAATGATTTATAACAAGCTGAGAAGGATTGGTTTTGTCCTCTAAAATGATACAGACTTGGAATAGTGACTAGGAATATTCACAAAGTCCTCCTAACTCTACTGCTGTGGAAGAAATGACTAGAGAAATAAAATGGCCTCAGGAATCTATGAAACTAATAAGCGCCCCCATCAGAAAGTATTGGGTGAATACTGTTCTATTTTCCAGGCCCCAACAAGGATGGTTGGAAAATATGAGTAATGGTCAGAGTTACAAACCTAAATTCCCACATATTTGTTTTAAAATACTTCTGGGTTAATGGCGTATTTTCGATCGGAATACATTTGGTATCTCATTGGAGTTTTAACTTAATCATTTGTAGTTTTAAAGTTGTAACATCTCATTTTGCTACAACTCTGAATGTACATAATTGTGCTGCTCCACACATTAAGTATTCCATGGTTTTGCTGTGGTGAAACTTTCAATAATTAATATTCGCAAAGTATGCATATTGCAGGATGTAAATTACATTTAATGTATAGTAAAGAATATAACTGGACCAAAACCTTAGAACTTCCCTCTTCCACCTATAAAAAAACCCAAGTGAGAGCAGTCTCTTATCCTGATCCCCTTTAAGGGAACTTGGATACTGAGGCCAGGGCTACTGTACTGAAAGCATGTTTTTCCAAATGTCCCGTTTTATTCCAGCAATAACAGGAAGATATTTGTTTACATGTAAGTGAAACAGAGGAGGACAATTTTATGATGTATTAAACAGTGACAAGGGCTTCCCTGATAGCTCAGTTGGTAAAGAATCTGCCTGCAACGCAGGAGACCCTGGTTTGATTGCTGGGTCGGGAAGATCCACTGGAAAAGGGATAGGCTACCCACCCCAGTGTTCTTGAGCTTCCCTTGTGATTCAGCTGGTAGAATCCGCCAGCAATGCAGGAGACCTGGGTTCGATTCCTGGGTTGGGAAGACCCCTGGAGAAGGGAAAGGCTACCCACTCCAGTATTCTGGCCTGGAGAATGCCATGGACTGTACAGTTCATGGGGTCACAAAGAGTTGGACACAACTGAGCGGCTTTCACTTTCAAACAGTGAAAACGAGACTAAAATGAAACTGAAGAACTGGGAATGGAAGATGTAGAAGGGCACTCCTTTATGAAGCTGGAGAAAACCCAACACAGCAGCAGCCCCTGACCCCTCAGTTCACATGGACCCTCCCAGGCCCTGCTGCCCCCGCTTCCCCCCACCCAGACATACCACACCCAGCACAAAAGCAATGTGTTGACAATTCTTAATTTTTGGAATCACATGGTTAATGCTAAAACTATCTTTTAAATATTTAGATACATTTAATTCTCAGTATGAACTCTCAGGACATGTGCAGCTACCCGGTTTGTTTGGTTTTAGATAAAAGCTGTTCAGGGAGCTAGTTTTTTTGTGCAAAGTAGCACAAGTGTGTTCTTAGTCATTGTTTTCTGTATCGTTATCTTAGATGAATTGGGGTGGCAGCAAACTGTGTGTGTCCGTCCACACAGGCTCCGCCGCCCTGTGATACGACACACACCTGACAGGAGAGAAACCCAGACAGTCAGCTAAAGTGAGACCCCAACCTCCAGGCTCTGAAAATCACCGGGTACCTTGTTTATTTTCCCCTTTATAATCTTGCTGTTGCTTGGCGGCCATCATTCTCTCCTTTCCTGCTCAGGAGAACTTCCAGTGGTGAATTCATCAGCTGGATCCAACTGCTGCACTTGTAACTGCCAGTCGACGTTGCAGGCCATCCTCCAAGAGCTCAAGACCATGCGGAAACTGATGCAGATTCAGGCAGGTATGCAGATCCAGCCTCAGAGGGAGGATCTTCAGTGGGGATGTTCATTATGCTTTGATTACACTGTGCCTCCCGCCTTGCTGTCTCACCAGCAAGGTTTCCTTTTTTTTTTTAATTTATTTAACAAATTTTTTATGGAAGTGTAGTTGATGGGGTACCTCTTCAAGCATCCATTTTTCTCTGTTTTTTCCAGAACCCACCTTCCTGTTAGCCAGTGTCACAGATGCTTTCTGGCGGACACTGTACATGTGCTCCTGGTCCTTCACAAATGTCAGCTAATTAAACTTTGAAACAATTACACCCGAAGGTGGGCAGGGCCCTTCGGCTCCTCCCCCTAATGTAAATTGACAAGGAGGTTCGTGATGGGGAAGGAGGTGAGAATGGCTCATCTTCCCTCCTAAGGGGCTCGGTCTGGGGGGCTGTGTGCATCTTACAACCCTCACTTCTGCACAAGCCCACCCTGCCTCCCACCCTGGGCTCCCTGTGACGGGTGAGGAGCCAAGCAGTTCTGTACATGCAGAGGCGCCCTTAGGAAGCCTGGGCTCTGCTGGTAGATTCCAGAGTATCAGCTGACAAGAAACGTTGGCCCTCGGGCTCTGCTTGTGGCTTTTCTCCCTAACATTCAGGTCAGAGAGGCTCAGAGACACCTCCGGTTTTGTCTTTTTATTTACACGATGCTTTTTTTGTTGTTGTTCTCGCTCCTGTTAGACAAGTTGAGGAACAGAAGAGCAGTGAACTTGCATTTTAGGGTCAGAGTTCCAGTTTCTCCTGTCTTAGTTTGAGTGACTTCTCTGAACCTCAGATTTCTCATCTGTAACTAGAGTATTAATATCTAACTCACAGGGTTGTTTTGAAAATAGAAGAAATAGTAAATGCAACTGAACTTGGTAAAGCATGATCTGAGCCTCAGCTATTTTGTGAGTGTTGTTGGGAAGACCTGGAGCATTTCTTAGAAGTCTGGAAATCTAAGTCCTTATTATAGTGGCTGTGATTTCTAGTCTCCAAAATTAGGGGAGAAAACGCTTTTTTGGTCATAGGGGAGCCTCACGTGCTGCAGTCCATGGGATCCCAAAGGGTCAGACACGACTTAGTGACTGAACAACAGCAACAGAAAATAATAAATCATTTCATTAAGCCTTCCACTTCATCAGGGAAAACTGCTCTTTAAGCTGGAAAATGGCCAGTCATATATAACTAACTTCCCCCCTTTCCACTGTAAAGGTATTCAGACAGCTCAGAAATTGTCCTTGGTGCCGTTTAGTTAATTCTAGTAAAATTTTAATACTCAGTGATGTGGTTTGATACTTAAAAAACTTAATACTTAAACATATCAGTCAAGATCACGTGCAAGTAAAATGAGCAAAAGTCTTTCTGAGAAGCAACATCTAATTTTATGCACTGGATTTAGTCTTATCCCAAGGGAAAAAATAAAAGCATTTTGGTCAGGCCAGTAAACATTTAACTCACCTTGTTCCACAAGGATAATCTGTGTTCTTATTAACCCAGCAGAGGCTAACATCTCCTAAATAAGGAGCTCAGAAAGAAAGGTTACTTCATTCTGTACAGATTTCTTTCCTCAGAGGAAGAATTTGTTAGCACTTAAGAAAATATACGTATGAAATGGTAATGATTTATTTTGTTACTTAAGCTCCTTACTCACAAAATGGCAAACTACAAATTGCAACCATTTAAATCCCTGACTGAAGCCTTTTGAGAATCTATTAAGTAAATGCCACTATGTCACCCTGTTTCCTTTTATGAACCTTTTGCAGATTAGGGCAGTAAACGACCCCAGAGCTGACAGGGATCCCAGAGGATAAACTGAATAAATTAGTCTCCTTTAATTTTCTTAAACTGAAGGGTCTGTGTTGAGTGAGTAGATTGACTTAAGGTTTATTACCTGTAAAATGTAGATTTACCTTCGACTTAGAAAGTTTCACCTTTACTTCAGGGAGAAGGCAAGGAATAAGATCAAGCGATAAGATCGGATTCGAAAGAACACAGCTCTGTCCAGACTTGCAGAAGAAGAAGAAAACCTCAGACCCTGTGTTCTTTAAACTCAAAACATTTTCGCTTTTAATTTTGGAAAGTGAGGCTTGGTGAGGCTGGAGTCCTAGATCATTGATAACTGCTTCAGTTGTCTAACTTTCCAAATGGAGACCTAACCTCAGCTGAAAATTCAGACCTAACAGAGAAAAGTTCCAGTCCAGCTTATATTGGGGATCACTGGAAGAGCTTTTAAAAAAATCCCAATACCCAGGCATCTCCCTGGGAAATTCCAATCCCAGTTAGTCTGGGTTGAGCCTGAGGCACTGGCTTTTTTTTTTTTTTTTTTTCCTTTTTTTTAAAGGTGAATCCAGTGAGACTAATGTGTAGCTGAGGTTGAGAACCAGTGAGCTAGACTACTTACTGCATGGGTGATTAAAAAAACTTTTCAGTGCTCATTTGCAGTGCAAGTAGTGTGTTTCTAATACTTATTTATAAATTTCTGTCCAGCCTAGAGATGCAGATATCAAGTTCAGAGTACAGATATTCCCCATTCATAACCTGATAAGAAATGATCCATATTATGTGCATGTCAAGATCTTTAGGTTTTCATCTGGCTTATTTTTAGAGCTGTATTTCTGTGAAAAAGCAGCTGTGGTCATATTTTTAAAAACCATATTAACACATGAAGATTTAAGTAGTAATGCCATTTTTCCACTTTACATCAGAGTATTTTTAAATGGTTAACAAACACTACTTCTTGAAGGGCACCTCTGAGAACTGTAATTACCATCCTTGATTCCCTTAAGTATATATTCAACATCAGCACTCGGCTCTCGATCAGCGCTTCTCGTCTTTGGAACTCAGACCATTCCTGGACCTTACTGATTTGTTCTTCTTGTACTGAACTATATTTTTCCTGTTTTTCAGCTACATAAAACTGAGTTATGGAGAAATAGCCTGGTCAGAACCCAGTAGCATAGTGTGTGGAGATGGCTGATGTGTGGACCTTATTGGTTTGTGAGGCAGGAGTAACTGGACCTGAAACTGACCAACAGACCCAGCCCACATGCTTACTGGTCATTCTCAAGTGATGCTTTTGATCAGACTTGCCGAAATGAGCATTGTTGCCCGACTTTTGTTGATTTCGGCACCTGTAGGTTGCTGGCTCCCAATCAGTTTAATCTCAAGTGGAGTATTCCCGAGATTAGCTTTCCAAAAAACATGGATGTCTACACCTCAATTTAAGTTCTGGGGTTCTTGGTAATACAAAAATGTCATGTGATGTGTAAAATCATGCTTCAGTGTTTTCTCATAGCTCATCACCTTTCCTCCTTACCATTACCCACCAGGTAATCAATTAGCCACAAGGATTTGGAGGAGAGTATTCTCTTGGGTTTTTTCTGCCCATAGACCTTTTGAGGCAGCATTTGGTCACGCTTATGTTTAGCGTGAGGTTGATCTCGATGTGCCTCATCCTCCAGTGAAACCATTTCAGCCTCAGTTGATGGAGCAAGAATATTCTCCTAGGTTAGACACACATGCCTGTACCATATTTTTGTTTGTTGTTCACAGTTGGAACCCAAAACAGACAACAACCCCCAATTTCCCTTATCTGCTCCCAGCGAACTGCCGTCTCACGCAAGAGAAATAAAAAGAAAAAAGTGCCCCCAAAGACTGTGGAACCTCTCACTGTGAAACAGAAGCCCAGTGCATTGGAAGCTGAGAAGAAGGCTGCAGGGGCCCCCGAGAATTCCAGTCTCCCCACGGCCGAGCACCCCTCTCCTGGGGAGAACCACATTCTAGGATTTGGCATCGTGCTCGAATCACCAGCCTCCGATGTAAGTTGATGTTTTCTAGCTGCTGATGCTAATATGTAACTTTCAGACACTGTGTCATATTTATACACTTTGCCCTTCACTAGTTCTGCCCAAGAAAACCAGAGAAACTTGCAAAATACACATGGGAAAGAGGAAAGGAGAACTCTTAATGCTCTCCTTGCCCAGAATTTTCTCTTCTGAAAATCTTAGGCCTTATTTACCTCAGCATGTTTCCATTCTCTCCAAAAGGAGAAGGGTGATGGAGTAAATATTCTATTCACTAATTTCGTTAACATTTGTAATTTTGAAGCGGCTGTTTTCAATTTCCTCAGCATAGAGAGCTAAAAGAATGTAATTAAATCCTTTGTAGATGGACATAAATGAGCAGAACCCTACAGATAAGGTCACACCTTTCTAGAAACACAAACTAATAATAAAAAAAAAGAGCAGTGCTCATGCTAATTCTATTTTATAGATGCAAGGATGCAAGCCACACTGCTAATTAGGTTGCAGTGCCATGCCATTGAGTCTGTGTAATGATAGGTTAACATTCTGCAAAGGTTTTTCTATTTTAATATCATAGCTCGAAGGTCGTCACAGCCCGAGATACTGGATGACATCTAAGACAACCGTTGGACTTAACATTTTAGAGTCACACGGCCGTAAACGAACTTAGCGACGTGTGCTGTCGGCCACGGCGAACTCGCCTTAGTGTCTTGATCTGAGTACGCTGATGCTGTGAACCCCAACTTGTTGGGAGAGTTCCTAAAATAAACCAGAACGAGTGGGCTATTATTACCAGATGGCATAGGATGAGAACCCTGCTGAGAACTCCCACAGGCCTATATAGGATGCAAGTGTGGTCCTACTCTTCAACTTTAAATAAGAAATACATTGCTATTTTAAAACAGCATTCCTTTCACGTTGGAGAAAGACAAGCTGCTAGCTTGGGTCTTTAATAAAGGGAGGCAACGAAAATGATCTTCTTGTGACTTTTTTAGACTAGAAAATCACTTGAACTTTTATCCCCTCCTTGATGAGAAGAGTTCATGTTTGTTTTTTATCCATGAACACATGCACGATTGTTAAGAAGTTCTTCCAAACTAAAAACTTAGCCTTAGAAAATCATTAATGGTGACAGGCTTCCACCCTGGACTAGCTGGTTTATTTCATCCTATCCGGTTGTTATTATAGCTGAGGCCCTAGGTTCAAAACCCATATCAATCACACATTTGGAAGCAGAGGCAGATGATACCCCAGCACAAAGTACATTCAGCCTGAAGCAGCTTTCACAATACTTTTATATTTTTCTTGAATTATTTAGAGCCTTCTTTCCTGTGATAGGCATTAGTGTATCAGGAGTAACCACTGGAGTTGTGAAAATCATCTTCTAAATGAGTCAATCTCATGCTAATCACTGAACTTCCTCCTTTTTAAAATTTTTATGCTCTAAACATACTTCAGAGATAAATTGAGAAAGATCTGATAAAGGCTGTATGTACATTAGTGAAATAGAACTTTCCTTTACCAATATCAGAATGCCAAAAAAAGTAATTTGCTTTTTATTCATGATGAGTTTTGCTAACAAGAACTATTAAATTTAATAAAGCACATTCAGAATTGTTCATGAAGACTCAGGGGCTGACTATCTTTGATAGAAGAATAACATGCTTCTTAAAAAAAAGCAAAAACTGTATATAGATGTTATCTTTACGTTATCCAACTGCTCTGCCCTTTGATTCATCTGCTGAATGGAAACTAACTGCCCCTAGAGAACCACACAGCGCGTCCCATCACTGGAAACTGCCCTCAGAGTCTTGCTGGCGTTGGCCCCTTAGGTGGTGGGTCCATCAGTGCTAAAGGTGTCTAAATTTAGACGCCCTTCTCGTCTTTTATTATTCCTTAGCTATGAACCTTTTACACTTTGGTGGAAGTCCAGAGGAGAAAATAGAAAATAGACAATAATCTTGTAGGAATTCTTCTATAAAACTGATTGGAAAAAAAGTAATAAAACAGGATTATATGTAAGTAGATGGGCGTTATGTATCTGAAGACAGGCTCTGAAAATACCCAGTGTTGGGAAGATTAGGTCCAGAATTGTAGGAGTGGGCATGTGGGCCAGTGTGGCTGAAGCAGCCTTGTGGCTGAGTGGGTAGCACATGATCATGTGAACGTGGGCTCAACAATGTATCAGATAGTGAAAGCCCCAGCGTGTTATCCGAGGCCCTTGGCTTTTTTATCTTGTGGGCAGTAGGGAGCCACTGCAGGTTTCAAGTAGAGGAATAGTCATATCTGTGTTTAGACTGGAATCTGGAAGCACCTTGTGGATGACTGATCAACACAGAGAAGAGACCAGAGACCAGGAGACAGATAATTCCAGGCAGCCAGGCAAGAGATGGGTAGAGTCCAGCCGTGAGCAGTGAAGGGACAGAGAAATGAGAGGCGCCCAGGAGGTACCCCCCACGGGAGACCTGGTGCCTTGGGAGAAGCAAGCCCCACATGTCTATCCTGGAAAATGAGGTTAGTCAGTACTGACTTCCTTAACTGAGACAGGGAAGGCAGAAGCAGGCCTTCATTTCTGAATGGGAAGTAACAGGAGGTTGAGTATCCTCAAAAAGTCCAGTAGATGTTTGAAGCACAGGAAAAATATTAGAGCTGGAAGCAAAAAGGATACATAAAACCTGTGCCTTTATTGGCTTTAAAAAAAAATTTTTTTTAATCAGAATTTTTAAAAAGTCATTTATTTATTTTTGGCCACGGCTTGCAGAGTGTGGGATCTTAGTTCCCTAACCAGGAATGGAACCTGTGCCCCCTGCAGTGGAAGCGCAGAGTCTTAACCACCGAACTGCCAGGGACACTCCTATATTGCTTTTTAAATTGAAAAAAAAAAAATTACTGTAAATTGTTTAAAGTTCACAATGTATGAAGTTATCTTTTTTATGCTGTGGCTTTTAGCATTGCCCAAATACAAATTTGTGTGTCTGGGCACAAGCAGGAACATGAGGGACTATGGATCATTGCAGGGGGACCAGCGAGCCCCTGACACCTGATGGGTAGCCCTGCTCAGTGGAGAAAAGCAGTGCATCCTAGCCAGCACTACCCGCAGTGAGAACCTCAGACTGTTGTCCGTATTCAGTGATCTAGGGCACGCAGGGAACCCTGCCCCAGTGCCTGGCCCAGAAAAGGTGCTCAGTAAACAGCCATGCATCCTCAGCTGCATTAACCACAATATACGAAATCACCTTATAGAACTTTGGTTCTAGGACTTGGCTTTAATTAGAACCCTCTCCTCAATTTAATGTGATTTTCCCTCCTTCCCCCTTGGCTTCTCAAGGGCAGGGATTAAATAAAAAAATAATAACAACAATAGTAGTCGTAGTCGTGTTTGTGTGCTATGCTTTGCCAAGTAATTTTTCAGATTTCATCCTTACTCTTTGAGGTATTATTATTATCCTCAATTTATAAATGAGGAAGGACTTCCCCGATGGTCCAGTGGCTAAGACTCCATGCTCCCAATGCCAGGGGCCTAGGTTCTATCCCTGGTCAGGGAGCTAGATCCCACATGCCACAACTAATACCTGGCACAGCCAAATAAATACATTTTTTAAAAAAAATTGATAGATGAAAAGACATAAAGGGTTAAGTAGCCTGCTCGAGCCCACGCAGTCAGAGGTGGAGTTGTTTCTCAGAGCAGAGCTGAGTGTACCCTATCCACCAAGTGCTCGACTCAGCGCATGCGCTAGCCTAGTTCTGTGTGTGACCACCGCAAACTGTTCATGAGATGATGGTAACACAAAGGAGAAGAGAAAGGTTAGACTGTGGCTCTGTATGCTGGCTGGTTGGTTGGTTTGGGTTATTTATTTATTTGGCCACACCCTACAGTTTGCAGGATCCAAATTCCGCAACCAGGGATGGAACCCATGCCCCCTGCAGAGGAAGCGCAGAGACCTGACCACTGGGCCGCCAGGGAAGTCCCCGTGTATGCTGTTTACTTGGAAGTTTCCAGGGGAGACCTTCATGGTCAAGGGTATAGCTCTGAGGTCAGGATGCCCAGGCTAGAAGCCCAGCGTGTAACCCTGACAAAGGTACCCACCCTCACCTCCCTCAGTTTTCCCTGAGTAAAATGGGAGTAATAATAGTGCTGACCTCACAGGGTGGGCCAGCTGGAAGAATTAAATGACATTATCTATGTAGAGCACTTAGAATAGTACCTGGAACCTTTTTAAGCACTCAGTAAATACTGCTTCCTTTTTAAACCTTAGCAGTACCTTTATAGGGATAAATATAACTTTGTTAAGTAAACTTACAGGTATATACACTTGAGCAAATACACATGAACTAATTGTATTTTTTAAAAGAGAGTGGCCAGAAGTGGTTCTCTCTGGGGGCAGGATTACTTGACCCATTTTAAGTTAGTGCATTAAGTAAAACTGAAATCTGGACTGCACAGAAGCAAAAACAGAAACCCCAAACCAAATTTCAGATTTAAATACAATATTCAATTCTTTCTTTAGGAGTTCCTGACCCAGTATTCTATCAGGACTCAGAGAAGACAGGTGTAAATGTTTGACAGTTTTCCCTACCTAGTTGGATTTATTGATTTTTTTTTTTCAGGGTAGATACACATGGCTTAGGTTTACTTCCTTGTTGTTGCTTCCTGTTTGGCTTATTGTTTGGCCTTGATGAAATACTAAGATCAGTTTTTTAAAATATTTTAAATATTTTTTAAAAACATAGAAAATGTTTTTCTATTTTCTGTAGTTACTATGAATATTTTCCAGTAACCCCAGATCACACAGAAGTTATCAGAAAATAAAGCTACATATCCATCAACTTAAGATAATTTTGTTAATGTTTATGTCATTCTTAAATATTTAAAATGCACTGGTGCTTTCAACATAAATAGCTACTGAATTCAGAGTCTGTTTTCTTAATTTCTTCATAGCCCAGTAAGTAAAGTAACCCACTGGGAACTGGTAAAGCAGATCCATCAAGCAAGCAATTTTTTAATTTATTCATTG